CCAACTCGAGAAGATTGTCAACGAATTGGCACAAAAAGAGGTGACTTTTTTCGGTTCGAGTAGAAGTAGTGAAGCGTTTATTATGCGCTCAAACCGTTTGAATCCAATCATTGAATCCATTATTTTTAGGATTGTTTTAGTTTTTGTTGTTTGGTTTTGATTTGTTTTTTCAGACGGTTTTCGATTACATTTTGAATTTCAATTTTATTGTTGTTTTTCATTATTTTATATATTTTGTGTTGAATTTAATGCATTGAATTTGGATTTAATTTTGTTTTTCTATTCCCCAAAACCGATCCGGAATATGAATTCCTCGAGTATTACTTAGATTTCATTTGAATTCATACATTGTTTCCCACATTTCGTTTGTTTTCCTCAAATTTTATTCACATATTTGATGAAAATGTTTCGTTCATTTTGTTTTTTTGTGTTAATGTTTGTGTTGAGGCTGTTGTTATTTCTTTAGGGCATAAGTGACAAACAAAGCCGTTAAAAATACAATTAAAACTACTGTAAATAAACAAAGCAAACAAAGCGAGGTTAGTTAATCAGTCTGATTTTACAGCACTTTATTTGTTTTAACAATTATTTTCAATCAATACCTTTCCATTTGATTCCGTGTTTTGTTTCGCATACAGAATATTCTTGTTTTTATTCTTTAAATGTTTACTTATTTGATTCCCAGTCCTCTCTCTCTCTCTCTCTCTCTCTCTCTCCCTCCCTCCCTTTCACTCACTCTCTTCTATACACATTTTGGAGTAATTTATTTGACAAATGAATTAATGAATTGTTTTAAACGATGGAAACGATAGCACGACTTACAGTCGTCTAAACAGCAATTAGCGAAAGGACTTCAACAGCAAACGGCTCAACAAAACACAGAACTGCAGGCTTTGCGCAAACAATTGGACGAAAAGGCGAAATCGTTGGACGAAACGGAACGGCTGCTGAAGAAACGGCAGACAGACATCGATCAGATGGAGGTTCAGCTCCAGAAGGCGCTGACACAGGCGTCGGGAGCGTCTCAGGCATCGCAGGCCAACACCGACGCCATCGTCGGCGACCTCCGCAAGAAGTGCGACGCTCTCGAGAAAGACAAGCAAATGATTATGAAAGAGATGCAGAAGACGAAGGACGAGTCCACCACTATTCAGTCGGAGTTGGATCGCCTCCTGAAGATCATGTCCAACTCGGAGGAAGAAAAGTTTGCCTTAAATAAGCAAATCCAAGAAATGCAAAAGTATGTCACCGTATTTGCTGTCACAGTATAACCATAAAAGTGATTACATTAATGCTTTTGTGACATTTGATTAATGAATATTGTGTTTATGGTGTGACTATTGATACAGCGCTCTGAGAGCTGCACAAAGTAGTGGTACTTCCCAACGAAGGAATACGCAAAGTGCCCAACAGCTAGAGGAGGGCCGACCACCGCCGATGGCCGCCAGACCTCAGTCTGCCACTGGAGCACCACCTGGTCATCCGCCACCCGGTCATCCACCGCCCGGTCCACCAACCGATCCGTCAAAGGCGCCACAACAACAACATCCACAACAGCGACAACAACATCAACAGCAACAACAGGTATGTCATCATCCGATCGCATATTAATTTAGTTAATTTGTAAAATCAGACTTAATTGCAACTCATTATTGAAAAAGGGTTTTATTTTATGATTTGAGTATTGCTTTGATGTCTGAATTAGTTTTTGTAACAATGAGTTACAATTTTGGGCTAATATGTGAAGTGAAATGTAAAAGTTTATCGATTTTTTGTTTTGTTTCTCGTATTTCCATCCATTTTTCTGGTCCACCGAAACAATAGCCCAGAAAATTGTTGTCTGACTTTTTTTTGCTGTGTTGTATACACACTATTGGTGTATATCTCTTGATAATTGAGAATAATTTTTCATTTCCTTAATAGTGTTTTCAGTTAAAGGCAAACAAAATAGACTTATCATTAGAGTAAACGGGCTTTCAGTTCAAGTCTTATATAACATTAAATATTTATATCGTCTTATAAGACAAACACTGCCACCAGAAAAGAGATGATGAATACAATATCATAAAATTATTTATGTTAATAGACTCTATGTATATATTACTCTATTATTTTTTTCTTGGTTAAAGAATTCGTTATTCTTTTAGCTATTCGTATATTTTAGTCTAAAATATGTATACATTTAGCGGGTATATAGTGTTGGCTCAGCTATGATATGATTATTCGCCAGTAATAATAACAATAATAAATTTAAATAAATATAATGTATTTTATTGTTACAGTGGACACACAGTTGAGCGCACAGAATATTCTGTGGTTATAAATTCAGTGCATTGTATTATTATGTATATTAGATATCTGTAGATCTCTGTCTACATATTTGTATTATATCTTAATCTCTGGGAGACTTATGAGATGAACGCATTTTGAGCGTATATTTTATGAATAAAAATCAATATTTACTTTATTCAAAAGAGCTCTCACATCCTCTCTCTCTCTCTCTCTCTCTCTCTCTCGTAGAAATTTATTTGCGAAATGTAAACCAAAAAATAAACAAGAATTTAATTTTTAAAATATAACCATAAAAGACAAATACAGGATATTTGGCTATTTTTAAGAGAGAATATTCCGATAGAAATTGTTTGAAATATTTATAAATTTTTATAGCGTTTGCCATAAAGAATGATAAGAGAAGAGGAAAATAAATGCTAAAACCATTTCATAAATTCTAATAGTGTACTGAAATAAAGTACTGTTACTTAATCTATAATATAATTCAATCTCAAACGTAGGCTTTTAGTGGTAATACTCGTCTCTCTGTGAGTCTCTATTATAGTTGATATAAATTAAATGTTTTATTTATTAATCTGAAGGTATTGTTTAGATTTTGAAATAGAAATTTCAGTCAATCCGATATAATGTCAAGAATATGTGTATTATTTGACTATAATATAGATATTTGACAAATAAAATATATAAATTGGAAATATTTTATTTATGGTTAGTGTTTAGTATAATAATAGAAATAATAATTTGATTTGTTGGTCAATAACGGACACTCACTATAATGAATGGTATTGATAAGTGATTTGCGATATATTGTCTGGTTATATATTTCTTGAAATAATAAATACACATGGTTTAAAAAAATAAATAAAAATTTATTTATATGGTATGTTTAAATGCGCTCAATAAATATTGTGATATATTTTTATATTCTTTATACACACATAGTATAGAATATTCTGTGACAAAATCAAATTCTGTGTCCACATAATAGCAATAAAATCAAAAACAATTCACAAATACTAACAACTTTTTTCTCTCTCTTTTCTATCTCTCACTCTTCCCTAACCCTGTGCTCAATCTTCCGACTCTCACACACTCTTCGCTGTCTATCATTGCATTTATATCTCTTCCTTATCTGTTGTCTCGCATCTAAATAACTATACTATCGATAATAAAATAAAAAACACCATTGATTGCGATGTCTCGGCAACGTACTACTATTACTACCACTACTTCCACTACATCTTCTGCTGCGAAAAAAACTATAACAACTATAACAACATCTCCGGTGCTTTAATCACATGAAAAAAATACTAACGACTGCTCCCAATACTAACAAACAATACAAAACACACACAACTGTCCACTCGCGCTGTTCTGTGTCTTCTCTGTGCCACTAATATTAACATCTATTAAAAATAATGGATTCAATGATTGGATTCAAACGGTTTGAGCGCATAATAAACGCTTCACTACTTCTACTCGAACCGAAAAAAGTCACCTCTTTTTGTGCCAATTCGTTGACAATCTTCTCGAGTTGGCTCTGGAAGCGGTCTCTCTCGAGGGCGCAGGTCTTGATGTCCTGCTGGGCCTTCTCGAGCTGTTTGCGGAGCTGTTCCGCCTCTTGCATCCACTTCTGTGTCTCCGATCGCTGTCTCTCTAACTCCGCGCGCAAACGGTTCACCTCTTCGACGAGTTTGGCGGAGTCGGGACCCGACTTCTGGGCCAACTGTTGCTGCAACTGCTGCTGTTGTTGCTGTTGGGCCGCTGTCTGCTGTTTCAACTGTTGATTCTCTTGGCCCAACTTCTGGAACTCTTTGGACCCGTTCTCCAACTGCTTCTGGAACTGCGCGATCGCCGCCAACGACTTCTCCAACTTCGCCCTCAACTCCTTGTTGTCGGTCTCGGTTTTGCGCAACTGTTGGTCCATCTTCTGGAGGTCCGACTGAAGGGCCAGAATCTGTTGTTGAGATTCGGCGGACGAGCGGCGCTGCTGTTCGCCAGACTTGCGACGCGACTCGTAAGCGGTGGCCAACTCTTGCACCTCGATCTGCAACTGATCCCTCTCTTTGATCACTTTCTTCAGCTCGGATTGCGTTCGTTCGCAGTTGTCCTGCAGTTTGCGGACCTCAACAGCCATTCGGTCGGTCTCTTGTTTGCCGGCCGAACCCGTGGCGGCGCCCGACGCCTGCATTTGAGTGATGTAATCGTTGGCGTCCAGTATGTCCTGCTTCAGGCTCTCCACCTCCATCTGCAGCCTCTGGTTCTCCGACAACTTCTTCTGCAGGTCTGTCTCCGACTTTGTCAACAACTGTTTAATGCGATTGATTTCAGCCGTATATTTCTGGACCTGATCTCCATTGAGTGGTTGCTGTTGAGCGGCGGCACCGGTGGCCACGGGTGCGGTCGCCGCCTGACCCTTGAGTGCGGCCTCGAGTTGAGCTTTGGTCTGTTGGAGGGCTGTCTGGAGTTGTTTGACCTCAACGGCGAGTCCGTCCCTCTCCTTCTGGGCTTTACTCAAATCTGTTTGGTTTCTCTCCATCTTATCCCTGATCTTCTCGAACTCAATCATCGCTTTTTCGATCTCCAGCTTCTGTTTGTCTTCGGAGGCCTTATTCTTGTCGATCTTGGCTTTGGATGCGTCCAACTCTCGCTGCAGGGCTTCGATGTCCAACTCTTGGCGCTGTTTGAGCTCTTGGATGCGGACCAACTCGGCTCTGGCCGTCTCGTACTTCTCGCGAATCTTCTCCACTTCCGCATAGAGTTTCTCGATCTCAACGGCGGCCGACTCTCGCTGTTGGGACAGAGTCTTGTCGGCTCTCAAGCGCTCCATCTCTGACTGTGTCTTCTGTAAGTCGACAAACAGTCGCTCCTTCTCTGCGTTACTCCTCTCCAAATCGATTCTCGCCTTTTCGTACTTATCTTTGATTCTCTCCATATCTATGCGGAGTCTCTCGAACTCGATTTGAGTCTTCTCTTGACTCGACTCGAACTTATTCATTGAAGTCTTATATCTCTCCAGTTCTGACTGCAGGGACTCCTTCTCCACCGCCAACCGCTCCTTCTCTGTCTGACCCTTCCGGTAGTCGGCCTGAGCTCTCTCGCACTTGGCGTACATCTGTTCCAACTCGATGTGCAACCGTTGCAGCTCTTCCTGTGTCTTCTCGTCGCGCGATTGTGTCGACTGGCGTTGACTCTGGAAGCGATCCAATTCGGTGGTCACGCGTTCGGAGTCGGCGTGCAATTTGTCCCTTTCGGCCAACACTCGGCGCATCTCCTGCTGACACTTGTCGTACTTCTCGCGCATTACTTCCAAATCCATTAAACACTTCTCCAATTCTGTGCGCAACTTCTCCTCCGAGTCCTTACTCTTGATGAGCTTCGAGTTGGTTCGGGCGTAGATATCCTGCAGACCCTCGAACTCGTCCTGAGCTCTCTTCTGGTCCTCTTTGGCTTTGGCGGCGATGGTCTGCGCCTTCTCGAGCTCGATGTGGAGGCGCTCGGCCTCCGTCTGGCTCTGATCGAGTTTGGCCTGAAGTTTGACCACTTCTGCCTGCGCTCTGTCCAACTTCTCCATCAGTATGTCGTGTTCGGCGCGATTGATCTCCCGGTCCTCCTGTGTCTTATGGTAGTGGAGCTGCAGTTTCTCCATCTCTGAGCGAACGCACCGCACGTCCTGTTCCTTCTGCTGGACGAGTGACTCACACTTGTCGGCCGCCTTCTGGGCCTTATCCGCTCTCTCGCGCATCAATTGCAAGTCGTCTCCCAGCGCTTCCTTGTCTTTGTTGGCTTTGGTGAGCTGTGTCTGCAACAGATCCACCCTTTCCTTCATCACTTCGGCCTCATGTAAGGCCGCGTCTCTGTCCTTCTGATAGCGGGTGAGTTGTGTCTGCGATCTGTCCATCTTTTCCTTCATTTTGTCGGCGTCGTGAAGGGCTGCCTCTCTCTCGAGTTGGATCTTCTGGTACTGACTCTGAGAGGCGCCGATCTGTGACTGCAAGTGCTCGACGTCTCCCGCATAGCGATCCCTTTCCACCTGAAGCCTGCGGGTCTCCGAACACACTTTGTCGTACTTCTCCTGCAAGTGGTCGCACTCCACCTGAGTCTTGTCCAACACTGTCTGCGTCTTCTCGTATTGGGTCTGAGTCTTGGCGAGTGTGGCCTGAATGCGGTCGGCGTCCAGACGCCACTTCTCGGCGTCGGCCACCGCCACGTCCTTCTCGATCTGCGACCGAGTGATCTGCGATTGGATCCGATCGTACTCTTCGGACAACGACTCCCTTTCCGACAAAGCGTTCTCCAGCTTAGCCTTCAGGCGATAGATCTCTCCCTGAGAGCGCTCGACCTTCTCCTGGAGCTGATCCATGTCTGTGCGGCTGCGGTCCTGTTCGGCCTGATTCATGCGGAGCTCCGCCTGAGCTCTGCGCAGATCCTGCTGTGTCTTCTCCAGCTTCTCCTGCAGTGCCTCTCTTTCCTCGGACTTAGCGAATAGACTAGTCTTCGCGGCCAACGACGAGCCCTCCCGGCCGTACTCGTAGTCGCGTTCGCGCTCGCGATCTCTGTCCCTATAGGCACCTCCGGCCGAGTCTCGACCAGTGGTAGTCTTGGAGCGACTGTCCAACTGTTCCCGCAGTCTATCGTTTTCCAATATATAGCGCGCGTTCTCCGACTTGAGCCGATCCCAGTCACTGGTCTGACGCCATGTGTCGGTCGCAGTCTTGTCCAATTCGGCCCGAGCTTTGCCCAACTCTGACTGCGAGTTCTCCAGCTTCGCCTCCACGCGATCCTTCTCTGCCAACAGTTTCTCCAGTCTTACCTAAAATTGGTTCAAATGTTTGCCGTTTTTTGCGGGCAAAGTATTTATCGTTACTTTCGTTTTGTTGTATGGATTCATATCTCTGGCGAAACTTATATCTCAATACAAAAAAAAACAAATATAACCCCATTTTCTTTCGCACTCTTTGCGAATAACATAACGATAACTGAAATGTAAAAATCGTTTTTCTCTTTTCAATAACGAAGAAAACACTTGAGAAGAAGGGTTTTTGGGAGAGAAGGAAAAACTTCGGGAGAAAAACCACTTCAAGACAATAAAAACGATGAGAGAAACGAAAACGAATTGAAAGGGAAAAACATAACGCAAACGAATGGAAACAATGGGCAAAAAATCAATCATTAAATACCACTAAATATATAAAACATATGAAATGAAATAAAAACAACAAAATAAAACATCGAGAAAAAACACTGGCCCTGTATTTTCATCACTGAATTTAATGGTCAAAACAAAGTGATGAGAATTGATGTTTAAAAAATAATAAAACCATTTAATAAGTCAATTGATGGCCATTAGCGGCCATAAACATCNCGAGAAAAAACACTGGCCCTGTATTTTCATCACTGAATTTAATGGTCAAAACAAAGTGATGAGAATTGATGTTTAAAAAATAATAAAACCATTTAATAAGTCAATTGATGGCCATTAGCGGCCATAAACATCGAGGGCTTCCGATGGGAAACAAAACACAGTGTTTTTTTCTGAGCACTTCATCGATGAAGAGAGAGAAAAGCGATAATTGATTTTCAACCAAAAAATACACTAAAATTTCGGTAACAATAATAGTAACCGAAAAACTCAAACCCAAAAACGATAACAATATTCAAACGAAACTTTCGCGATATGAGAGACACACATAAAAACAATGAACAAAAGCCCAAATAGACCATGGTCAATATGATCACTATGGTAATTATGAACATTATGTCTGACCTGAAGTTTTTCCATCTCATTCTCGAGCGAATGGAGTTTCATCTTGTGTTCGGCCACTTGTCGCTCGTGAAGACCCCTCTCCTCATGGAGTTCATGCTCTGCGCGATCTCTTTGTTCCTTAATTTGGTTGATCTGTTTGTCTTTATCGCTGATGGCGTCCTCAAGACTGGTGAGCGCGCCCTCGGAGGTCGAGTGGTGGGCCTGAATGGCGGTCAGCCGGGCTCTGGCCATCTCCACCTGATTGTCCTTTTCCTTCAATAAGTCCTCGAGATTCTCGATCTGTTATTATGTTTTTTGTATCAATCATTTTGGTTAGATTTGTAACAATATTTTTATATAGAAATATGTATTACGAAGAATATTCTGTGCAAATATTCGCTCCTTTTTTTAATTTCCAAATTCATTGTAATTTTACGAATAAATATTGTTATATATATAATATTTTAATTTATTTTGTGTTTTATAAATGTTTTTTCTACTATTTTTCAATCCACTGAACAAACTAATCAAACACTATTTGTTGGCAATATATTATGTTATTTTCACTGATTATAACACACAAACACAGCGAAAACACAAACATCTCATTTACAAATCGTATCGCACAGTCGTATATAACATTGAAACTAATCTAAAACTCGTAAATACTTTTGATGTTTTTCATTATTGATTATTATTTCGATACGAATTTTTCCACATTTATTGCAAATGCATTTAAATTTAGGCAATAAATCAGTACACTATACGGCATACACTATACCTAGTATGGGCGCAATAAAAAAAATGCATTATAACCAGTCATTTTTTACATTGAAATTTACACTCAGTGTAAATTTAGCCCTTACTAGCACTATACCCTTGTGTACTGTATGTTGAGTACTGTTATAATAAGTTCATAGCACTCGCGACCACTATTTATCTCGAAATGAGTTGTATATCGCATACCATAAGAGTGAGAGAGATATATGTTTACTCGATATTCATTAATCACTTTGATTTGTATTAAAAATACATGAAAAGTATATAAAAGGAAATCATTTATAAAAAATAAGCTACATTTAGTGCCTCTCTCTCTCTCTCTCTCTCTCTCTCTCTCTCTCTCTTTCTGAACGCGAAACTAAAGCGAAATCTCTATTTAAGAGATAAATGATTAACGAATAAAGCGAATGAGAAGAAGGAAATAAATTTGTTACTAATATATACATTGAATTCAATACAAAATACAGAAGGAAACTAAAAATTGATTTGATTTCTCGAGTGAATGAAAATACTTGTAACCGTATCGCAGAGTACATTATACTGTCCGTCCTTTTGTGTACACTTTACACGTATATATTCTACTTTCAGCTAAATATACTGTGCATTATACAGTATACTGAACATTATATGAAATATCTATATAAGTACGAGTGTTTATGATATGTATTGTGTGGTGCGATAAATGCTGTACAGAATACATATCTCATATGAAAAGTCAATGAAATGCTTACTTTTCGTTGCAAAACATTTATTTTTCTATCTCTTATATCGATATGATCTCTGAGTTCTTGCAATTCTTGATTTAATTTATTCCTATCCTGAGTGGTGGCCATCGTTTGCGCTGTCTTTTTCTCAATCATCTTATTCTTCTCCTCGAGTCGGGACCGCAACTCTTCCACCTGTCATGTGATGGCCATTAGAAATGGCAGATAATAAATAATTTATGTAAACCATATTCAAGTGCTCAATATATAGGCCAACCATTAAACACACACAACAAATACACACAACCTTTTCTCTCAACCAAAAACATACTCAAAGAGAAATATGGCATAAATTTTTCTATTCATTTAAGGCGTCGATGAGAGAGTACTTCAATATTTCATGAAATTATATCGTAAGTGATTTGTGAGATAAATATTTTTGCGTCGACTTCTTCTGGTGGGCAGTCATTACAGAGACGTCGAGTAAATGTGATATTTATTTGTTGGTCAACAGAATATTCGTCGACAAAGTAATAATATATTTATATGTATATCAAAAATAATATATAATAATTTATCCGTATATTTATCGCGAAAGTGTTTTGAACCCTATTTTCTATGCTATCAGATATCGATCTCAAGAAAATATATAGTTTTCAAAAATGACACAATATTTTTGCCTAAATTTGATTGATTGCATAATTTATAATAAATTTTCCATTCAATAGAGTTATGGAAACATTATTGAGAGGATAAGTGATAAAAAACTTTCGAAAAAGTGCACAATTTTATTATTCATATTCTTAATAAGTTATATAATAATAACAGAAATATAAGTATTAATTAGAAATGCATTGTTTGTATTGAATTTCTCTCTTATCGACATATTTCATGTTTGAAATAATTAATTGCTATAACATAACAGAAAAATAATTAATAAACTGCTCGATAGAAAACTAAAAACTCATATTATATTCCCATTTATAATACCGAATCCAATACAACAGTATATAACTGTAATTGAACTCAAAATAGCATTATTGCGATCCTTAAAGAATATTCTCTTTATAAGCATTATATTCAGCCAAAGAGAAAGAGCAGCAAAAAAATATAGAGAATAGCAAAAAATCAATTCAATTGCAAAAAAGCATTTGATGTAAATGTGATCCCCATTATAGCGAACACTACTATACGGCTGAGTATTACTACTACTACTCTAATGGCAAAACCACTGCCAAAAACAATCAATAAAGTAGTCGAAGAAGAAGTTGTAGTGGAAGAAGAAGTGGTGGCAAAGAGAAAGAGTAAGAAAGGCTGAGAGAAAGTGTGTGTATATGTGGAGTGAGTGTGTGTGTGGGCACACATACATCTGCCTGAAGCATGTTGTAGTGCTCCTCTTTGGCACAGAGGGACTCCTTGAGTACAGCGATGTGTCTTTGGTAGTCCTGGTGCTGCTCCTCCAGAGTCTTCATCTTCGCCCCGACCGCCAGTATCTCCTGATCTCGTTTGTTGAGCTCTATCTTCAACTCTTCCATCTGATAGTGGTTTTGGGACGTGAAATGCGAGCAAAACAAACAGAATTAGTGTTTTTGTTTTTATCATATAAAAAGAGATTTATTCCCAAGAATTGGCAATCAATATATTCATATCAATTACACAATCCGTTGGCAAAGAATATTAGAAATGACATCAATGTTAAATATATCACCATATAGTAAACTCTGGATATAATGTACGTTTAATGCACTGTAAATACTATTTATTAGCGTAATGTACCGAAAATATTGATTTTTAAAAATTTGATGCTAAATAATTCAACATCATCAATTAATAAATTGTATGCAATTATTGTACATTTTAAACAAAGTTTATAATTTGGATTATTTATAATAATTAGTGTAACTTAATTAAAAAAATTTAATAATTATTATAAGAGATTAAATGTTAGAAAGAATATCAACGAATCGAAAGACAAGAATCGAAGAATATTAATGCGATTAAAGAATTTTGTATTTGATTTTGCAATTAAATAGTTTTGATACAAATCTCTGAAAATATAAGTCATTAGATATTAAATCTCAGATAATTAAATACCGAACAGAGCTTTGGAGAGCAATAAGTATAAGAAAATGAAGAAAAAAGTTGACGAAGAAGAAGAAGAGGGAGATAACAGTTGCCGACAATAACAGCGAAAGTATGGCAAAAGGTATGGCAAACCCGGAATGAAGAGACCCAACGAACCTCTTTCTCAGCGTCAGTCACAACACATTTGCTATCATTTGACAAATGAATTACTGATTGTAAATCACAATTCCTGTCGTTAACGTCTGAAACACTTTTGCATTTAACTCTTTTGGCGACACATTTATTATTAGTGGTGTTAGTCGTTGTCGTCGTCTTGTGATTCAACGACGAGTGCGACGATTGTATGGACTCGTTATGAGCCGAGGAGGAAGAGGTGGTGGTATTGCCTTTCAGGCGTTGAAATTCCCATTCAAAGAGTTCCAGTTCCTGTTCAAGACTCTTGATTCTCGAGTCCTGACACACAAAATATGGTGCAATTTGTCTTGAGCCGAGGAGGAAGAGGTGGTGGTATTGCCTTTCAGGCGTTGAAATTCCCATTCAAAGAGTTCCAGTTCCTGTTCAAGACTCTTGATTCTCGAGTCCTGACACACAAAATATGGTGCAATTTGTCGATTCAATAGCAATACATAAAATATAAAACATATATTAAAACAATAAAATCATAACAAAATAAATTGCATAACAAATGACAAACAAATACATTAGAAATCATACGAAAAACAAGTAATAATAGGACTAAAAGGATGAGTAAAGGATGCGTTCATAATCTTAAGAAATATGTACATTTCAAATGACATGAACAAAAATATCAAATAATAATAACTTAAATCAACAATAAAAATATGAGTGCATAAAGAATAGCAACAAAAGAAACGGAAAAATAAAATAACGGAAAAAACTTATTTTATTTCTAATTTATTATAAGAAACGAAAGAATAGTTTGTGAGAAAATTTTGAGAGAGAGAGAGAGAGAGAGAGAGAGAGAGAATTCAATTTATAAAGAATTTATATCTTTCTCCACATAATTGATTACACATTTCATTTAAATTGAAAATGTTTTTTATATATAAACGTGCGATTGGTGTACGAGAATACCCGATGAAAATAATGCATTCAATACTAACTAACAGAGAGAAGTAGAAATCGTAAGGAATTTTCGTGAATATTCAGAATATTCTGTCGAAAAAATCTTAAGTAATTTATAGGTAAAGAAGAGTTCTTTATGTTGTTTTTTGTTTGCATTTCCACCAATTTTTTTATCCCTTCTCTCAATGCATACCTTTATCTCAACCATCGCTCTAAGCATTTGCGGTTCGCTTTCATTATTTTCATCACTTATTGGTTTGTAATTACTGTTTGATTCATTGTATTCATCAATATTTGTATTGCAATAAATGGGTTCGTCTTTCGATTCGTTTGTCTGCTTTTGCAGTATTTTTTTAATTAACCAAAAATAGTAATGAAATCAAAAGTAAAAATAGATTACAATTATTATAAAGCTATCGTTAGGTGAAAGACAACCAAATATTCTTGTGATAAATGTTTGTCCAGAAGAGGGGGACAGACATGACGTACCCGTAAAACCTCTTTCTCTTTCTGCTCGAGCATGTGTTCGATATGTCTGAGTCGGGTCTCGAGCTCAATATTCCTAGACCTGAGCCTCTCGTACTCCATCCTCTCCTCTTCCATAATCTTTCCGCCGATGCCTTTGTTTTGCATCATTTCCATCAACTTCTTGATGCTCTCATCCCTGGCCGCCAAAGTCTGCTTCTGGGTCTCTAACCGTAACTCCAATTCCTATTCGCCATCGAAAGTGAATCCAAACAAACAAAAAAGAGGCCGAAAAACACATTAACAACGAAATAGAAAAACACGTATATATTTATGCATAAATCAGGTTTGAATCGATTATAACATGTATAACAAAAACACAAACTAACGCACACTGACTATGCATTAGGTGGAGGGAAATGGGAAATATCGACATTACATTTATCTTGGTAAAAAATCATGACTTATAATTTACATACTTTAATTGTTTCCCGTAAGAGATATATCTCTTTAGACATGTGCTCCTTCTCGGAGTAAAGAGCGTCGATATGTTGCTGAACGTCGGCGTCCGGGTTCCGCATGTGAGTGATCCGTAACTCTTCCTCCAATTGGCGGAT